TCACAATTTGTCACAGTAAAAACGCTTCAAATTTAAGAAAATTTACTCTCAGGAAAAGCGGGAGAATGCTTAAAAATTAATCCAGAACCAAAAAGCTACTAGGTCTTAGTACGAGCCCTAGACTTGGCCGTAATGGATGCACCTGCGGCACACATTCCCTCGCTTTGATAGATCAAATAAACCTCGTGCCCTTCCCCACTTTTAATTTTCCTCCTACACCTCTGCAAAGCTACATTCACAGACAGAAAACATAATAACCCTATTCAACGATTTTCTTTCCATTCTCCTCTATTTCTATTCACTGTTACAGGGATTCATCTACTAATAAGTAGAATAAATATTATTTAGGGAAATAATTCAATCTTTCAGAACAACTAATGGGCCATTATATTGGGGAGAAGCAGGTGATTCTACTCCCCTTTTCTTTTAAACATGCAATACTCTTTTTGTACGTAATTAAGACACACGATAGCGTGTCGTGCGGCCAAGAAAAAAACAAACTTGATACGGACGGTGTGTTATTTACAGTAACCAACGAATTGCGATCTTCAGCTTTCTGTAACTTAATATTCTCTCCATGAATTTTCACCTGTATTGCCCCCCAGTTGGCTTACCTCATATTCCAGATAATATTTCTTTCGTCGTCGTCGTCTACTACGCACCAAATTGTACGAAAATTTAACATACCGTTTACGTCCGAACAAAATTTCGCGCAAACTAAACCCAACGTTTAGCTGTTACAGTATAAAGAACGGCGATTTGTGAAGGATATTTTTTGCTCAGATCTGCAGGACAAATAGTAAATGGAATTGTTCTAAAATTGCTTATTAAAATTTCCCTAATCTCATCTTAAAAATCGGCTGTTATCCGGTTTTTATCGGATTTCAGTTGGCTATGGTATCCAGGCCTACAACAGAAAAGGATGTATACATCTTGTTCTACAGCCTATATCATACTGTCTCTTCAGCATGTGATAGTTTACATGTATGTAAGTAACAATAGAATATTGTACTATGGAACTTTGAAAGTATTCTTTATATTTTACAGCTTCTCTGTACGGTGGACATTCAACTGACATGTAGGCCAAATGCTGCTTGACGAGATAAATCCATGTATGTAAGTACGTGTAAAATCCATGTCTTTACAGCTCATACTTGTACGTATATGTATTTTTTAGGCTTTGTTGATCACCATTTGGTGTGATGATATCCCTCACA